GTGTGACATTGTAAATAGAATTTACAGCATCGTGTGTATGCTTAGCTCTGGCCTTTTAAGTGTGACTACTTGGGTATGTTTGCCACCACTTCCGTATGTAACAAACTATGACATGGACAAAGGACTGGTCAAATATGCATAGCAATTTCTGAATAGAATCGAATCACCTCTGAGAACAAATTTCAAAATTGGCACAAATGGGTGTTATTCTGAGTAGTGCATATAGAGAAACAGTTAAACATTTACTATGGGTGTTTTCAAACCTGGCTCGTTTGGAGCATTTGTTTCGAAACGTGCATTTTCTTTCTTAGTTTGGTTTGTTTTCCGTTCGTAATTGCTCTTCTCTGAAACAGGTGCTTTGCAGGAATGCATTGCAGTTTAAGTACCTGTGTCGGAACTATGCAAATAATCCACAGGTCTGAAATGCCTTAAGACTCCAGATTAATTTGCAATTATTTACAATTAAATGTTGTTTCAAAGACTGCAGAGTACCCACTTTGCAATGTGGATTATTATACATCTTTGATAAGGATTTATAGAGTAATATACGTTCAGTACTTTTTAACATTCTTCAGCTTTCCATCTTAATAATCACTCCAAATAATCAATTATACTGGTGTTTTGTGAGGTTTCAACTGATTTCAAAACCTTTATTAAGGCCATAACTGAGTTTCATTCCATTTAGTCCAAACTGTGAAGCATTTCCACCCTTTCATACCAAATCCTTTTGCACAAGAGCATGATGTTAGTCTTCATCAGAGCTGCTGTCCTCCTCAGCTTCAGACATGTCAGCGATGGGGAACCTCAGGACGGCCACCACTCCACTCAGCTGATTCAATTCTACAGAGACAAAGAACACGTCAGTCACATGATGAGCCAATATAATTCTCTCTGAAACAAAGACTATAGAAATGAAACTTACGTTCTCCAGATACATGTAGGCTTGAGAAGATTCTAAAAAATATTATTAAACAGGAGAAACAAAAATGTAAAAAGAGCTAAATATTTTGCATAATATAAGAATATGGCCTTACTGGATTGAAAATCATATGAATACCTGACATTTCCTCCATTTTCCTTCACGTTGTCTACAAGCCGAACATACCGGCTGCGGGTGGCTATGTCTTGATGTCTGCCATGAAAAAGAAAAAATACACACAC